CACCGAAAAGCCTTGAGCTCTTCCCTAATTGTACAGGTTTTCGTTTTCTCCACAGGTAAACAATGTATTATAGGATGCTTCTTCCTGTTTTTGAACTTCATGAATAATGTAACATGTATTCTTTCATGTTTGGCTTTTTTTCCATGTAATGTTTTAGATTTATCATGTTCTTGCTTGTACTTGGTTTAATTCACTTACATATGGTATTTCATTCTATGAATAGCCCATAATTTATCCAGTCTCCATTTGAAGTAAATGGGGTGTTTTCAGCTTTGGTGCTCAAGTTTTAGATCAGAAGGATTTTTCAAAATTTCTTTTTTTCATAATAAAAAAAACAGTTCCCTTATTTAATATACACAATGAAGTGTTCTAAGAATATGTAGGTATGCTTAATGGGCTACAATTAAAATGACTGAGAGGTAATGGTGGGTTAACATAACTACTAAGTGTTGTATTTGTAATTCCTATTCTAGGTTTAACTTCAGGATGATCACTTGGGGGAACAAAATAGTTTATTTCCCCAAAGTGCGTCCACAATTAATTTGAGCAGGGGTCCAAGTAATCAAATATCATTTTGCCAAGTAATCATTTTGCCAGATTGTTTCACATTTTTTGAAGTGTTGATTTCTCTGTAAAATGCAGATAGTCCTGGTTCAAATATAAGGTGCTTTTACAACTTTTTTTCTTTCAGTTAATTGGCCTCCAGTAATTTGATTCAGAGCTGTTGAAGGAATTACATACATTGGTTCAAGCTTCCACAGTAGAGTTCAGCAACAAGTTTCAAAAACATTGTCACTGCTTTGGCCTCCAAGTTTGGCTTCTAGAAATGTGTGCAGAGAATACACGTGTACAGGATAAATACAATAAATGCATGGATAAAATGTTCAAGAGGAGTCATTAGGAAGTCATTGTTATAGCAGAAACAATCTTAATAGTATAATCATTAGGTATAACCCTAATAAAATGTTCTAATTCATATAATATTGTTGTTTAATTATATAGCAAGCTGCATGCACACAGTGGGACTTCTCTAACCATCAAGAGGGAGAAGCCTCTGGGGTTCCACGTGGGAAGATGCTGAACTCGCCTCCACCACAGACACACCCAATCTAAAGCTACACAGGCAAAATTTTCCTCTGAAAAGAACCAAAAGCTGGCTGAGCAACTCCTACAGGGAAAATGATAAACAAGCCGCTGAGGGTCGGACATAGCCTCGCCGCAAACCTCACACCTGGATCCGCAACCCCGGATCGGGCGGGAACGCACAACCCAGCGTTTCTCCCTGACGAGTAAAGGGCCTGTGTCTCAACTTCTAAGACCTGCACCTGGGAGAGGAGACCCCCAAACATCGGAGACATGGAAAACCACCGTCCTGAGAACCCCAAGGCCATAGCCCAACTGGGGAGCGGCTTTCCGAGGGCACACACGCCGGCGCGCACCTGCCCCAGCCGCAGCACAGACGCGCCGTCGCTGCCGGACTTCGGGGAGGCGGCCCACGTGCCTCCGCGGGGCCCCAGCCCCGACCGCAACCGGCGCGAAGCCCGCGGGCGAGGCCAGCGGCTCACCTGGTTCCCGGGGGCGGGGCTCCGGGCGGGGGGCCTTCGCTCCGCTCTGCTCCCCGGGCCTTTGCCGCTGCCGCCCGGGGGCTGCCCCTTGCCCGCCTAGCCGGGGGAGCCTGCAGCCCTCGGTGCCCTGGGGCTGCTGCAGCCCCTTCCGGGCAGGCCACCGCGCTCAGGCCGCGGCGTAGGGGGCGGGCTGGAGCACACCCGGGCTGTCTGAGGAAGACCTATTAGCAGGAGCTTCAGCTTGAGGAGCACACTTCCAGGGGCCCGTGGAGAGGCTGTCCGGGCACAGAGGCAGACGAAGGCAGGCTTTGCGCCCTCCTTTGCCTCGCCCCAGCTTGCAGGGGCTGCCCGGAAGGGCGCTCACGCCCTTGTCTGCTACCCCCGTTTTTGCAGTTGCTGCCAGGGACGCCTCTCTATGTATGGCCTGGCTTTAGTGGCCAGCTCTTGCTCAGTAGTCCCACAGGAGAAAGCTCTTAAATAGCTGCCACCTCCATGGCACAAGAAGAACGGACCCAGGAGCTCAGTCTTTTTGTGAAAGAAGCCCATTAGTTTATTATTATAGCTGCAGCCTGAGAAGCTGGAATCAAATTTAAGACTGAGGGGTTAAAGGCTGGGATAATTCCAAATCATGAAGTTCAGAATTATAAAAGGGAATTTAAACGTTTGGATTTATAAGGACATTAAATATTCGTCCAAATATTTATTGTTAAAAGTGGTTAGTTCTATATATATACGTTTTAAATACCTTGAGTTTTGAGAGTTCTTTGTCGCTTTTGGATACAAATCCTTTATCAGATACATGATTTGCAAATATTTTCTCCCAGTCTGTGGTGCCGAGAACTGTGAAGGATCTGACATTTTATCCTGCCGGCCATCTAACAAGTGAGACTACCAGGCTTTCAAAGATGCTAGAAAGCGACAGGACGCTCCTGGGTTAGAGAAAAAGGACTTTGGAGCTTCACATTCACATCTCTTTCATTTACTCTCTTGACCCCTAAGACTCAGAGGGATGTGGAAAGGTCTGGGTAGGTACTGCACGTAAGGTTTGTGTCATAGCTGAAAAACCCCAAGCTTAGGAAATCCTAGTCATTTAAAGACGGCTGCTATTGAACCCCCAACCTTTGCCCTAAAATAGACATTGTTTTTATTGGTCGGGAAACAAAACAGGGGAACTTCGTCTCTGTCTTCCAAGGCTTTCTACTACATGCTCCTTCAAAAAAATAGTCCAGGACAAAAGTGCTTAATGGATTTGCTCAAAACACATGCCAAAAAAATGAGAGACCCAGGGAAAATTGTCTCCCAATATATGACTTGTCTTTTCATTCTCTTAGCAGCATCTTTTGAAGAGCAGAACATTTTTTATTTAGTCTAATTTATCAATTTGATTTTTTAAGGATAATCTTTGGAATTGTATGTAGCTAAGATATATCTGCCCAACCCACGATCTCAGATTTTTCCTAAGTTTTCTTTTAAAAGGTTTGTAGTTTTAGGTTTATGATATTTTTCAGTTTTTTATGTGGTATGAGGTAAAGATCAAAGTTTTTTTGTTTTCCACACACGGATATCTAATTATTCCAGCACCAGTTTTTGAAAAATTACCCATTTCCCACTGAATTGCCTTGGAACATTTGTCAAAAATCAGTGGTCCATAAATGTGCGAATCCATTTCTGCACTTTTTTGTTCCACTTATCTATCTTGATGCCAGTACACACACGATTAATTCAGGTATTGGTAGTTCTCCAACTTGGTTCATTTTTTTCACAGCTGCTTTAGCAATCCTAGATCCTTTGTATTTCCATATGAATTGAAGTTAGCTGGTCATTTTTTACTAAAAGCTTGCTGGGATTCTCACTGGGATTGCATTGAGTCTATAGATGAAATTGGGGAGAATTAGTATCTTAGCAATATTAAGTCTTCTGCCTCATGAACACAGTATCTATTTGTCTTTAATTTCTTCTAGCAATGTTTTATACTTTTCAGTGTACAGGTCTTGCACATCTTTTATCAGTATTTAATAATTGTTTCTATTTTCTTCCTTTCCCTATCCTTTTGCTTTCTACCTTTTTGAACTCTTATACACAGTATAGAGATGTCTTTTAAAAATACTGTTTGACAATCTTTTCCTTTTAATTGTAGTATACAGTGCAATTACTAATATATACAGTTTAATTACTAATATATTTGTGTTCAGACAACTCAGACACAACTTCTCATGTCCCCAGGCATGCATGGGATACTTGCAGTCTTGGACCTAGCAGTAAGCTGATGCAAAACAAGTCTCATCAGCACTGCTTTGTCAAAGGCCCCTCAGCCTCAATACTCTGCTTGCCACCATGTCCCGGTAACAATAAGCAGACCCCTCCTCCTGGTACAGAGGTTGCTTCAGAGAGAAGCAGAGCAGATTCAGACTAGGGTACACTCCTGCTCCTTTTTTCCCTAATTTCAAAGTACATGTTCTTAGCAGTATGGCAGCCACAATACTTACGGTGTTCTTCACACAAAAATATCTGTGCCTCAGCCAAATGGCAAGTGACAAATTTTAGCACAGATTACTTTCAGACTATAATGAAGGAAAAACATTTGGTAGATTGAATTGAATCAGTTCATGAAAACCAGCAACATTTCTCAGTCTGCATTCAAATCTTGAAATGTCCAAGTTCCAAGAGAATAATATAAACCCATGCTGTGAAGAATATTGTAACCAAGAAGTAAACACACCAATTACAGAGTATATTTGAAGGACCTCAGAATTCTAAGAGAAGTACAAAAATAAGATTAGAAGCTAGGGACTCTAGTTGCACAAAAAGTTTCAGGCATTTCACAAGTGGCCATGGCTGGAACATAAAAATGCCCATCTTGGTCAGATTCATTTTCTTTCTAGCATAGCGTTGTCTCTAATATTGGCTATAACTGCCTACCTTCCTTGCACTTATTTATCATATAACATTACTTGCTACATTTCTGTTACTGGATTAAATGTCCACATAAGAATTATTTATGTGCTTCTGTGGGCTAAGATGGCAATTATTTTTACTGTAGAAGTAACTCTGTACTATGGGGTGAATTTTCCTGGGTGTAACTACATAATTCAAAGAAGAAAAATAAAATGAATTTTAGTTTTGCAATCTAAGCAGGGAACTTGGGTGCCAAATATCAATGTGAAGTGACATAAAACAAACACATTATGAACATCCAGAATTTTGGATTTACAATGGAAATGTTGACAGCTTCTGCAATTAAATAGCACTCAATCACTAATTTTCTTTGAGGGTAAGATTTGTACCCTGCTGGGCTTATAATTTTGTTTTCTCTTTTTTGTGCTGCTCATGTATAAATATTGTCGATTTTATTTGACACAAAAAAGAAAAACATTTTTATTTCTAAGCTAACGAATGAGTGTCAAGAGACAAAAAAAAATCAAGCCATTTCAAATGTATTTGTAACAAGGAAACAAATTTATTGATTTTAAAAGACAAGACACCATTTTGTTTTGAAAAACACAAGAAAGCTAGCCTGAGTTCAAGTCTGAAATATTCAGAAAAATCCTACTAATATCTTTAGTATGTTCCAGTCATTTGTTTAAACAACACACTAAAAGTTAATATATATTTTTATAATTATAAAAGTTCCCCAGTTATTGTACAGTACACAATACAAATCGCCCACAAACTATTATTTAGCTCCTGCCAATTTTGAGAGGACATGATATACTAAAAGATTTAGCATTTCTCACAAAAATCACATCAGGAAATACGTATTTACAAAATCAAATACATTATACAAAAAACCATCACATGTTATTCGGTAAAGATGTTTTTAAATAATTAAAAAGTTTATTCAACTGTAGTCCAAAAACTGGAAAAGAACATTACATTATCTCACACATACAATCTCTACAAAAGTTGCTTACCTCATTTACATAATATATTCAGTCGATTGTAAAATAAATGTTCAAATATCTCCTAGTGTTTCTATGTTTCTGTGCTTGTGGGACTGAATAATGTAATCTGCCACTTACTAAGTGAAATTTAAATGATGGCACTTAAAAAAAAATACAGTATTTTAAAAAAACACAATGAAAGAAGTTTTACCTAGAAGGTACGAAAGCCCTGAGTGATAGTAGAATTACTGATTGGTAAGCACTACAATTAACCTAATTAAAAGTTTACCACTCCAGGCACAAATTTCCAAGTTTTCTCAAGGCACTCACTTAAAGTTTCTGTAACCGATGCACTGCTCACCACCATAGGTCCCAATCAATGATGGAGATGAGTAGAGAAAAAAATTTGCTTTGGTACAAAAGATGCTTTTTAAACGAATGAATTCAATACCTCCTTTACTGGATCGTTTAAAATTGTGTTTAGCAGGTTGAAACAAGGCAATCATTTGTTCAAACTATTAATTCCTTAAAGGAAAAATTTACTTGGTTATCAACAGTCAATGGGAGATTTTGTTTCTTTCCTCCCCGGAATCATAATTCTTTGAACAAACATTTGTTGTCCTCATTATTGGGCTACATAATACAATTCTTACCAAAGATTTCATTACTCAGGGCTTCCAATCCCAACATCATAATTTATTTTAAAAACAAAGAGGGGAAAAAAAAGAATTAAGTATAAGAACCAAATAAAAGAGACAAAACACAGTTTGTAAAAGAAGACATATTACTGGTTACTTCAAACAAAAGAAAAAAAAACCCTAGGCAGTCACTTTGTAAGTGGCTTTTACTATTTAAGTAAAATTGGTAAACTAAACTCAGGTCTACTGGCACATAAAATCACTAGCAGCAATGATCAGAGCATGCAAACTGAGAAGCATTTACAGTAAATCATCGTGAAGAATTCAAAAGAAGAGAGTTAAATTAAAACCCTTTGAGTATTGCATGTTAACACATGAGTAATTTGCATGGTTTGACTTCCTAAACTGCCTAAAAAAAGCAATGTTTACGGCAAACTCGCACTATGCTATGGATGTCCTTCCACCAGACATAGGAATAGGTTACACTCTTACTTGCGCCGGCTGGGGCAGTGCCAGCACGCCTGCAGAGGACACTGCTCTTGTGTTCCTTCATGCAGGGGACAAAGGGAGTCAAGTGCACGCAGACAGCGTCCCTTGAACAAAATCAGCAATAGTGTAAGCACACTGGCATTTACAGATCCCAAAAGCAGTAGTCCTGGCATCTCGACAGATGAGCTTAAAATCAAGTGCTTTGCTCTCCATTCTATCTATACATAATTTTTCGACAAAGTGTTAAAGTTTTGGAGCATAGATAAAATTATGCCCTGTATGAAATTCCCAAATGGTATTTTATGAGAGATGGAACTCTAAATTGCTTACCTGCCCCCACAGAGTTCAGCTTTTCTTTATCAGCTCGAACTCATTTCTTCCTAAGGCTTCACTTACAACTGTCCAGCTAAATAAATGAGATCTTTTGTTTTGTTTTGGAAAAAAAAAAAAAAAAGAAATGCAACCCTTTCTTTATCATACCTTTTAAAGGCAATCTAGGTACTTTCAGTGTGCAGAGATCAGTTCTGACATAGGTCTACAGGCCCATGTATTTGTCTTCCTTTTCTAGAGTCATGATGTGATGCTAGAAAAGTTGATTTTTTTTTCTGTAAACAGTACACTTACTTAGATGGCAGTGAATATTTGGGAATAAATATATCAAGCCCTCTTGAAGAAAATTAAGAGTTGTATATAAAACGCAAGTGTTCAGCGTGGAAACACTTTCTCTTCCTACCCCCCCTTAAAAAAAAACAGCATAATTAGACATTTGGATATAGAGTATATTTTACCGGTCTAAGTCTAAATAAATGATCTGAAAGGCTTTTGTCCCCCATTGTATATCTTACAATGCTCAAAGGGTTAATACAAGGCATTACATCAAAGGGGTTTTCTAATACTAGAACTAAGCACTGAATTAATGCTTCTATTCCAGTTTTTAAAAAAATCACCAAACTTGCAGAAATACTAGAATTCCATTCATTGATTTGTTCTAACCATATACATGGAGGTTGATCTGATCTAGTGACAAGCCCAATTTTCAACAGCACTGCACGTCAGCACTCCTCTCCCCTGGCTTCTGGTGTTTCATACAAAACACAAGTTCTGATTTCAGTTCTTTGATGGTTGTTAGTTTTTCGCCAAGAATTTGGGGGAAAGGAGGTTATAACAAAAGTCAATTTGTTGTATATAACCATTGCCTCAAATTGTACAGGAAGGTGACTTGCCAAAGTTTTTGACTTTCTACTTGTGTCCACACAGGGAGGACCAACATCACAGTGACACACATTTTTTTTCTTTTACACTGATGTTTCAAGCACAGCATTATTTTAGACATTTCAAATATATCATCTAAAATTTTTAAAATTTGAAAATGCATCACACTTAGCACTTCCAGAGAGTGCATTCATATAAAAAGGTTCGTGATTATGATAATGGAACTGTATTCATTCCTGAATGACTTTGACAGCATTCTACAAGAACGTGTTCATTTTTACTTGTCTACTATAAATCAAAGGCAGTCAATGTTGCACACTACTAATTTTAGGTATGCAGTGTTAAAAACCATTTTCTAAAATTTACTTTTGTTTTTAAAGTACACCATCTAAAGAGAGGTGCATGAACCGTGCTATACAGTACAAGAAAAAGCACAAAAAAGAAAGCAGATTTCTGAAAAGGCAGTAAGACTTATACAGTCTGTCCAAACATAGTTTGGATGACAATCGTGAAAAAATAACCAGCTTCTTGATAACCAAAGAAAATTTTAAAAATTGGGCCCCGTGTTCCAAGGAGACAATTCATCCATTTCACCCTATTGTTCATTGGCTTCAAAAATTCAAATATTTTGTGTATAATTCTCAAACTATTTGTGAAGATGAAACTATACCCATGATACTCAACCCTATTATAGAAATATCTTTCTTGAAACTTAAAAACAGCCAACATACATTCTTTACATTTTTCCTCACTGAAAGTTTTATGTAACACTTTGTGTGTATAAATATTTTTCATAACAAGTGATTACAATGTCAAGAAATACGAAGTCCTTCGCATGTGTACTTGACACTTGTTAATAAATCTACTCTGAGAATATTGATGTCTATATTATTTAGAAAGTCAGTTTGAATGAATGAAAACAATGGAAATAAAATGTTCAATAGATATGACTGCTCCAATTTTCCCAAATGTATAAAATATGATGTTTTTATTTTCTAATGTATTTCACAACTCAAATCCAAAATTGCTCAAGATGTTTGTGTGTGACTGTATAAGTGTGTGTGTCTTACTGTGGATTACAAATAAGTGGAAGTAGCAGATTGTAGATGCTATTTCGTCTACTGGTCAGAACTACGTACCCTAGTCACAAAGAATTAATCTTCCTAACTGTGTTCATAAAGGTGATTGGGATATTTTTAGTGAGTGAAGTTGAAAAGGAGTATTTATTAATTCTTAATCTGTCTTAATGTAGAACAAACCATGAACAATTGGAAGAAATGTTGAATCCTGGAGGGTCCCCAGTCCCTAACTTTCATCAATCTAAATTTGCCCATTATTAGCAGATTCCTCTAAGGACACAAATATACCAACATTAAATTAAACAATGATAATATACACATTTAAAATCACTCAATCAACAAGATGAAACCTGTAAATACGTTAGGTCCAATACAGATACAGTATAGTTCAGCGGATGGTGGACTGGGGTAGGAAAGGGAAAAAAATTCAGAAAGGAGAGTCGAATGAAGAGTGGTGTTTTTTTTTCATTTTTAAAAATCTAATTGTATCTGTAAACATTTCCTAATGTGCAATGATGTAGATATAGGGTCTTTGCAGCTTAAGGTGTTTTGTTTGCCTTTGTGTGTGTGTGATGGTGCAAATTCATTGCCTTTTTGGGAGAAAAAAACAAGATGATCATATAAATGAATTTTAGATGAAGTGGATGCTGAGATGCTAGTGAAGACTTTCAAATACATGAGTGAGTCATATAATACAAAATTGGAAGCAGTTTAAAAAATTACACTGAAAACCATTTAAAGTTACTTCAGAAGCTTTGTTGATCTCCGTTATTTGAGTAGTCTAAGGCAATCGAGCAACAGCAGCTGGGAACATACTGCACATTACCCGATAAGCCATTTGGTATTTTTAACTTTACAGAGTGGCTCACTTTCTTCCACCCCCGCCCTCCCCCCACCCCAATAAAACTGGAAAGATAAATATCTTGAGTTTAATATAGGCCTCATTAATAATCTGTAAATAATTTTGTGCTTTCCCTTTTTTTTTGGCTTTAAGTATTCATTTATTTTTGCTGATTAGCTTTTTTACAGCTATTTAAATGAATGGATGTGCCTGTTTGTTTGTTAATAATTTGAATGCTTAAAAGAACCTTGGCTTTTCACATAAATTAATATGGGGATGAGTGTATCCTCTCTAGGATCTCACCTTCTGACTTTGTAGCTGACTTCTGCCCACAGGCACATGCGTGTGCATGTGGACACACATATGCCGAGACACACAAACACTTAGACTGAAAAGATGCACTTCAATAAGTACCTGCTTATTTTGTTAACTTTCTTAAAGTATAACTAGATAAAAATGATCTAAAACATATATTATTTTAGGTAACAAGTTGGTAATTAAAACTAGCCTGCTATTCCCACCCTTAAGCAATCTGGTTTGTAATCAAGTAATACTCAGTTCTAAGAACAAAAATTACGTTCATGGTCACTCAAAGAAGAGAATTGATTTTTGTCTGTTTGTTTTGCTTTGTTTGCCCTAAATTTCCTTTGAAGAACATGTAACCTGTCCTTACTTCAGGAATCTGAAAATGACAGGCACACCTTGTCAAATGGATTGAAGAGGAATTCACATGAACAGAATAAGCCTTACTAAACCTTAGCTTCAGTTCTGTTTTAAGGCACCATGTAATAGCCGAGGTACGGTGATCCCTGATGTACATTCTTCAATGGCACTGGTCCACCCAGCCACCTATCCAAATCCTACAGAACTGGGGATAAGCAACAGTGTGGTGTGCCAGTTACACTGCCTTCAGGTTCTGTTTAAAATTTAAATCCACATACTTTAGAAACCAGGAAATATTTTTGAAGGAAATAATGATATGCAGGTTGCTACATTCCTTGCATTCTATAAATTTTCTTTTATAATAGCAGCATATTGAACTACTATTAGGAAAAAGACCTGGAATAAAAGAAAGTCATCCAAATGGAATGGTTTCCTGTATGTCCAGTTCAGCATAAGTAGCATGTACACTTAAAAAAAAAAAGTCAAGTCATTTTTTTCAGCTTCAGTATCTAACTATAACAGCCCCACTCAACAGCAGAATGCATCTGTGCAGTGGTCCCAAATACAGAATCAGTAGTCTTTAAACAGAGGAATTGGTATGCAAATAAGAGTTAAAATTCAATGTTTAACGGAAGTTTGCATTAACATGGTTTAATAATTATGTACACAAATTATGTACATATTAGCATAATCTCTTGCAATTCTGTCATTTACTCTGAACTGATAAATGCACAGCGCAATATTTTTTTCAGAGAAAAATAGATGACCTTCCCAACCTCTAGCACTATAATAAAAATGCTCTGTATTCTCTTTCCATACCAAAATGTTATCAAAATAGTGTCTTGTGGTACTGCCCAATGAAAAGCACCTTTCAAAAGCAAATTTGATGCATCTGCTGCCAAATGGGCATGCCTCCAGTGTAAATCAAAGAAATTGATTTCTTTTGATATTTCACAGAAGTGCATCTAATTAAAAACTTACACATGAAATCATACACCAAGACTAACAATCAACAATAGAATATTTTAAGCTACGAAAAATGTAAATTACTATTTAATTATAAGAAAACAAAAACATTGACATAAGTGTTGTAAAAATCCTTCTTGACACCTGAAACTAAGGGAAAAAAAAAACTCTTCTTATTAAGAGGCAAATAGTTATTTTATGTTAAAAAAAAAAAAGACCTGGTAAAATACATACACCCATTCCATTTCACAACTCCAAAAAGGTAATGTTCAGCACAGATAGAATTTGACAACAGTCAACCTTCAGGCTTATTAAATTTTCAACTTAAGCCCAGTATCAACAGGGTTAATGTTAGCTGGAAAAATATGCTTTAATATTCGTTAGACTGCAGTGTAGGTATTTCCTGTAGCGCTGCACTGTCTGATAGTCTGAGTACTCGTGACGATGTGCTCACTGTGAATTGGATTCAGGAGGCTTGGCTGCACGCCACTCTCAAGAACAGGCTGCATACAGCCCACTGGAAATGCCTGGTTCAGCTCAGTTTTCTCTCTTTTGGCTTGAGGTTCTGAAGAGTCATCTAGTTCTTCATCCATTTCACTTTCCACTTCACTGCCTTCATCTACACAAACAAGTAATACCAAGAAGACAAATTGGATTTGCTGATCACCGGATTACAAGAGGACAAATTGGAAGCAATCAACACGTGCTTTCAAAATACCATAACACAGTACTGGTACTACAGCTACTTTTAGCACTTCTCAGGGAACCAGGCCTGTAGGTTTTCCTTTCAACAGATTTTACCTGTATCAGTGCTCTATTAATGCATCTGTAATTCTTTCAACCATAACAAAGGTAATTTACCTTTGGCTAATTTGTTATTGATACCTTTAATAATTCTTAAGAAGACCCTAGGAATTTCCAGAAGTTTTTATATTAAATAGTGGCATAATTTGTGTCATCATAAAGTAATCATTTTGGTATACTAGTTTTTAGGGAATGTACTGAGCTGAAAAGTGCTAACCAAAAAAAACAAGAAAGATAGAAGAAAAGAAAATTCAAGTCTCCATCAAAAATAAACATTTTATCTGTGCTGATGCTAATGTGGGTGAGACCTAAGTTGATTCGCAAAATAGTGACAGCATATATAAGCAGGGTCTGCTGTACAGATTTTTTGGTGCACATGAATGTTGAATATCACAGTATTAAATATGCCCTTAATTTTTGTTACAAAAAATTATGAAGACTGAGGCAGTAGTATCAGATCAAAAATGTACAATGAATTTCCATTCCTGGCAACACCCATATTCACCATTAATAACTGGTATTCATTTCTGGAAATTAAATGTATTAACTGGTCACTGTTAACTCCACACTTTAATACATTTTATATTAACTAAGACATCATTATAATGGAATACCACTTAATTTTTTCCAGTATGCACTGTTAAAATTCAAAAGTAAAGAGAAAATGCTTACACATAGCACTACTACTATGTAAGATTCTTCTCAGAAGAATGCAGAGAATACTTCTTCATGAGTGATAATTTTTAAACTATAGGGAATATATTTCTGCCTTAAAAATCATTTGCTTCACCTTAAATAGGCTTTGTTTACCAAAAAAATCCCACTTATAATTATATCAAATGCTTTATCTGTAACTAAACTATTATGATGTACACTTATTAATTTTGGACTTATCACAGTGACTTGTATGGACAGACTCAGATCTCCGTGAGAGTCTCCACCACATGCAGAGTGAGTGTGCAACAAGGACCTGTTCAGCCAGAGCAGGCTGGACCCCTCCTAGTGGGTACTGAGTCTAGTTTTACCATTTGGGGCACATCTATAGCAGAAGTCCCTGCTGAGACAGCTCTCCATATAAATGGGCCCCTTGGCTTTTCTTCTCTCATTATCAGTTGGGGCAAAGATGGTTCAGAGAAAAGAGATAAAGAGCAACCAGGCATCCATATATAGTCGCGCAGGTTGGGCAGGGCATGGCTACTGGGAGCAGCGTGTCCTGAGAAATGGCATGTGAGAGAAAAAAGGTTGAGAATAGATGTATTGACTAGAAAAGATGTCTAAAGCATTATTAAGTGATAAACACAGAACTGCTCTTCGACAAGGCAAAAATCATTTTGGCTCATCGCTTTACTTGGTTACTGTTGGGCCATTGGGAAATGGTCTTGACTGATAATCAGAACAGGCACAGGCAGAGGGTTGGTGGGCTTTGGGGTAAGGAGTACACATTTCATAGACGTTTGTTAGTGTGACACATTCTGGCTTTGTTCATGTGTTTTTTTGTGGGGGGAATTTAAAAAACAGTTTTATTGAGATATAATTGACATACAATAAACTTGCACATATTTAATGGACATTTGTACATATGACACATGTACCTGTGAAACCATCACCACAACGTCGGAGTAATAAACATATCCATTACCTCCAAAAGTTTCCCTGTTTCCTTTTGTGTATGGGTGTGTATGTTAAGAACATTTAACATGGGATCCACCCCCTTAACTTTTTAAATGCATAACAGTATTGCTGACTATAGGAGATGTTTTATGTGTTTTTTAATATATGAAAAACAACATGTCTGGCAGGATCCTCACACTAAATTCTTGATGATGGTTGTCTCTTAGGGTTGGGACTATGACATTGTGTAATTTCTAAATCTCAATGTTATTTGAAATTTTTATCCAGAGCTAATATTATTTTAATTATCAGAATAAAAATTAAAATTCTCATTTTGTGGGAAAAGCTCACAAAAACTCTTGGAGATTTCCCATTCAAGCCTTGGGCCCTGAATATGACAGTTAACTGCATCTTAAGAAGCATCAGGTCTGCAGATCAAGGGAACCAGCAGGGCCACACAACAATGTGAGGAAACGTCACACTGCTTCTTGGCTTCCTCTTCTCCAACTTTTCTGTGCCTGAGATATAGGCTCACAGTAATAAAAAAGGCAGCACTGAAAGGGAAAAAAACCATTTCAAGGAGGTAGGCGAGTGGCGAGAGAACAGAGAAAGTCCCTTCATCTCCCCTGTGGTGGATGGAGATGGCAATGGGGTAATAGACTGAACACACATCTTTTAGGCCACTTTTCTTTAAGTCCACTCTCAGGTGATGGGTTTCCTTTCTCCAGTTCTAAGGGCAAAGTAATGTAATTCCTTCCACAGACACTTTATGCTCCTATAAAGACTCAAACACATTTCCTAGGAACCTGCTCGAGGTTATGTAAATTTGGTGCACAAAAATTAAAATTAGGAGCCACTGGAAGACAGGCTGCTTAACCAAGTAGCAACACTCCTGCTGCATCTCTGGGACATGTGGATGAAATACCTAAATTTGGGTCATGAAGCTTTGGGGTCGCTGCCATCAGCAAGGTTGCCTTATTTTGGAAATGGGTTTCAAACATTACCTTTCTTGCTCTGAAATTATAAATTAGTATCATCACTGATATCGTTTTCTGATTGTTATTTGGTTAATCCTATACAGTATATATTTGCAGCAACAACATTTCTGGCCTATCATTTTCTGCTTTTCCTGCTTTGCTATTATGCATATTTCTAAAATAAAAATTAATGCATGAGACTGACAGGAATTCAATGTAGGAGTGATACTGATTCACACATGATATTCCCTGGCACATTCATGTTTTCCACCACACAGGAGTCACAGAAGCTGACCACTGAGTACCCTAGTACAGGATGCTCCAGAGAACAATGCTGCACCTCATGCACAGATTCCCCAAGTCCTTCTTTTGCCTCAGTTTCCCCCTTGGCTCTGGATCTGTCTTAGAAGGGCTAATTATATAGTTCTCTCCAGTCTATGTATTTTATCCTTGACTCCCAAGTCCAATTCTTTACAACCTTAAGATATCTTTACTTTTTTTGTTGTTTTGTAGAGAGGCCTATATTTTCTGCAGTACTTGCTTATTAGAAATTTCACATTTTTTTCCCCTTAAACTGAACTGGTAGTTTTATCAGGATTGTTTTTGTTTGGGTGTGCTCTATACCAACATTATTCCCCCCAAGCCTTGTTATTTTAAGGTATGGTTTTGTAGATTATGACTTTCTTCAGGAATGTAGATCTTGTCATATTAGAGGGGCAATGCTAGTATTAAGACTGAAGAAGTATATATGTTATCCTTTTCATATATCCCAGTACTGATCTGTTTTTACAGTAAACTGCATTACTTTCTCTGAGTTCTTCTTCCACTGGAATATGTCAATTGGTGAGGTGGCCAGGCTGAGGAATCTTTTTTCTTGCTGGATGGGCCCTGAATAAAAATATTTTGTCTGATTTGATCACTTTTCTCCAAGACACTGGCAACTGCCAGAAATAATTTCTTGCTGCTTATAATGAACTGCAGGCAAAAGTCAACAAGAGTTTGTAACTGCATTCAACTTCAATTCTTGTATTTAATACACCTCACATAAAGAAGGCATAGAAATGGAGCAATGATGAAGGATTCCAAAAAACATTACTGTCATATTCATCTAGGGCTCTATGCCATTGCCACAAAGGAAGAGCGCTCTGGACATACACCACAATTTCCTCTGTGAAAATTTCTCAGTCAAAAAGAATCCTTAAAAAGGTACATTATTTTCAATTCTTACCTTTATCCAGATTTCCAGGAGACACAGCATTCAAATCACCAAACTGCAAAACAACAGTCATTTGTTCAACAGTTACTACTAGCAGAATAAAATAATATTCTATCAGTCTGTGGTAAAAACACCACAGTATGACTTACAACTGTAAACTAGTGACCATTTTGATCTCTAACTATATGGGTCACATAATTTTCCAATCAAACTTGTCGAATTTGACCAGTTTAAACTGTGTCACAATTTAGCTGTCTTGGCCTCTTTGCAAAAAGGTAATTTTCTCTGCCTTCCACACTCTATTTTATGCTTATTTGAACTTAGTGGTGAAGAAATTGGGGCCTGGCTGGCATGGTTGAAGATGGCTATGGTAGAATAGATTTGGAAATGTGCCAATGAAGCAGGATGCATCAGCTCTAACCCCACGCATTTTACATGAATCCACCGGGCATCTATGTTAGAGAAATACCATCTAGCTTCTTGATTGAACTTTGTTTTTAAAGCTTTTAGTAGTAGATATGGAAAACATAATAGGAGCCCTCCCAAAATTGAGAGTATTTATTTTTTCAAAATATTTGAGACTTCTCTTCTTGTAATTTGATGTTCTTATTTACTAAGATAATAGGATCCCGCTTTAAAAAAGAAAGGGATCTGATTGTTACTAACGCAATAAAAAAGAGCTTAAAACAATATGAAACAATAACCTTCAGCTTAGACCTCATTTTCTACCTTGATTCAAGAGCCTAATAATACTTTTACAGTGAGAAAATACATTTTGAGAATCTCAGGACAAACAAAGTTAGATACATTAAATAAAAATTGAATAGCAGGGGTAAAAAAGCTAATTGGAAAAGGTGAAGTGGAACCTCAAAGCATCCACTTTTTAAATGGTAAACATTACTTCTTTTAAAGCCAAAGATTCAGATTAAGGTCATTTTTAGAAATTCAGATTTCTCAATAGGCTTAGAAAGGGTGAGACAGAAATTCTACTTACATTTAGAAGTTTGCTTATAAAGAGTTCCATGATAGGAGTATATTTTTCATCTACAAGGTATGTCTATAAAGTAATAAAACTGATCTTATTTTGCAAAAATACACACTTTTTTTTTTTAAACCTAAACATGTATTGTTTTCCATAGTAGCTACCTTGGAAGCTTATACATTTATTCCAAGGTCCAAGGTTCTGGAATTCCTCTTTGACAATCAACTTCAAGGTTAGTTTATGTATCACTCAAGAAAGCCCATCTTGTTATTTTATATCCAATTGTCACTCCAAACACCACTCCAAATTGTATTCATTGCAGCGGGACCTGGAATGATATCTGACTACTCGCCAAGATCAAATCCATCTACACTACGATTCAGCATATTCAAAATAATATATCATTTACTCTATTATTTCTTATCAGTTAAGAGGCAGTTTAAAAAGAGGCATTCCACAACATTTAAGCCAAAATCAAATTCATCTACTCCATGATTCAGCATATTCAAAACAGTATGTCATTTACTCTATTATTTCTTAGTAGGTCAGAGACAGTTTAAAAAGAGGCATTCCACAACATGTAAGCCCTGGCAGCATTAGTGGAACAGATCCATAGCCTTCCTAGGTGACTGCTTGAAGGGCACAATGGCCTCCTGGATGTATAACTTCTAGTATGTTTGTTTCAAAGACTGTCAATTACATTATAGTTACATCCCATTGGGCAGCAAATTTAAAATCATAATGAACTGTTGTCTTGAAGTTTTTCCTGATCACATGGGTCAGAACCTTATAATAGTCTAAGTAAAAATCACAGCCTAAATTATGTAAGATTTGTGGAATTAAAGAATATAAGCAACAAAAAAACCAAGAGGACTCTATCTATTTTTGGTATTATTTAAATATTTTAGAATCATAAACAAAAAATGCCCAAAGCTGAAGGACCATTTATAAGTTATTTCTAGTTGACATAACACAATGAGATTTTTATTTCTTTTAAATGAACACTTAACAATACTTAAGGTCCAGTTCTGGAAACAAGATGGAAGTGATGAGTCTAAACTTACCTCTATACCTATAAAATGTGAATATTCCATTTGTTTTTGAAAAATCTAGAAAAAGTGTTTGAGGCTAAGTTGCTATTGCCATTAGTGATCAGTAATATAACACAAACTGGCTAAAACCAAACTCTGGATATATTTGAAAATTATTTTCAAAAGAAATACTGCTTTTAGTTGCTACTTAACTGAAAATCTAACAACTTTCTTAATATTAAGATTTACCTTTGAAAGTTTCAGCTTAATCTGAATGAACACATCTGCTTATTCAGGATGTTGAAAATAAATAACAAAATCTCAGTGACTGCTACTATCACTGGTAAATAAACATTTGTATACTAAATGCTGTGTGTTTGTGGCTATGCAGTATGCTGGACACTGTACAAAAACATCTCAGAGACACTGCCAATGCCTCTTGTGGTACCTGGGATCAAACACAAAGTTCTACATACAGAGCAAACAGGAGTAGATTTAAAATAAAAATCTTATGAATAAGATTTTCATGTCCTATATAGCCAAAGATAAAGGTTTTTATGTGCATTCTATATGTGAGTGAAGAATATACATGTGACTCAGGACAAACCACTTTTAACTTAGACTGGTAAGATTAGGAAATCAGTTCACTCATTATTCAGTAAATATTTACTGAGAGCTTACTATGTGCTACTAGGCACTGTGCCCTCTAGTTACAGTCAGATTAATTTGGAAATATTCCCTTTCTGGAGGTATCAGAAGTTGCTTATATTATGAAGGATAGATAGTTTAGCCAAAAATTTAGGCAAGCTCAGAAAGCTTCAAGAAGACTTTAGAAGCAGAGTGTTAACTAGAATGGGAAATCACTTGCAAGGGGTTTTGGATCAAGCAGCAGGTCAAAGAACAGTGGCAGGAAAGGTTGACAGCAGGCATATTGAAGATGGTATCACAGACAGGGGACAGATGACAAGCACCTGGATGACGCCAGCACAAACCAGAAACAGAAGAGATAAACAATATGGACAAAAAAAAAATGGAGGTTTGCAAGTAAGTGCAGAGATTATTGTAAAGTCATAGCTCCACACGTGGGGAAACTCTGTTGCTCTCTACCTGTGGTCCTGGGCGCTGGAGGGCACTGCACTTCTCCTTGCGGCTCATCAGGGACTTTCATGGTTCAGTACACGGCAGCCTTTCTCTCAGATATTATGACCTCAAGTGTCACCTTCTCAACATTGCTTCACCAGAGGTTTTCTTCCTGACAGCCCATAGTGTCTCTTTCCCTGTCATTCTCAGTCATTTCCCTCACAGCACCTGCCACAACATTCAATGCTTACTTTGTTTCTGCACCTAAATCTGTCTTCCCAACCCTAATGCCAGTGTCCTTAGGGTAAAGAATATCTTTGTCCTCTTTATAAATGCATCCCAGAATCTAGTATAGAGTACAGCACCTGATAAATATTAATGGCTGAATAAATACCAAATGAGTTTGCTTCATTTCAGCCTCACAAAAACCTTAAGAATTTGGCAAGATAGAGAACTTAGATTTAATCTTACAGCTATTGAAAACAATGAATTGATTTGTCTAACATTATATAAGAAATATAGTGGTATTAGACTTGAGACAAGATATTCTGATCCTTAGTTTAGGAATTTGAGGGTCAGAGAGGAAGACTAAGCAGGAATGGGGGAAAGAAGGAAGGAAGGAAGGAAGGAAAGAAGGAAGGAAGGAGGGAGACAGAAAGTATGCATTTCCCATGCATGGAAGAAGGAATGTGAATTAAGAGATTTAAATAGATTGGAACATAGAGAAAGCATATCTGTTGTTTTCAGGAAGACCTCCAATCCTAGAAACCATTTCTTCTCCAGGTCCTGACAAGAGGTCATAATAATGAGCATCCTCCTGGATAACTGCATACTAAAGAATATGTGGTCAGGACAGCCAGGGTGGGGTGGGGGGTCTGTTAGACCATAAATTAGTGATGAGATGAGCAATGGCCATGATGTGTAAATGGGCAGCTGGGCAGCACAGCCAGGACAACTACCAGCAGGATCCTTGAGAGAGACCCTGGTGTGCCCCTGACCTGTGGCCAAGCAGCTGAGGAGTAGTTCATTACAGGACAGCAAAGCCCAGCATCTGTCCTCAAGCACAGCTACCCTGAGAAGAGCCGGGCTCAGCACAGGAGAGCAGCCCACAGATGCACCGAAGAGACCACTGCACATTAGATCCAACAGCAGTGAATTTTCAGTGAGGGAGGCAGACCTGTACTGTAATACCTGGAAATTGAAGCAACGCAGAGGAAGTCAGGAAGCCCAGACAGCAAACAGGCAAGGATCCGTGCGGGGACCACAAAGCAGAGCCCGAGAATAGAAGTAGGGAATAGAAGGAAAGAATTCAGGGACTGGGATGAAGACCTCACCCCTGGGGACACTTGCCCTGCTGGAAGAGTTTACGCCATCCTGGGGAGAAAGGACTGGTGAGTAATCATAACCACCTTGCCTGGGCAGCCAGGTAAACGTTCCCCATAGAAACTGCATCTTACTAGAAATGCTTTGTTAGTATATCCAGGTTTACAGATTTACAGGTAGACAGATACAATCACACCCACATACCCACACATGCACACATTCTTTTTGTTTATTGAGCTATTGGTTGTCCAAGTCTAAAATCACTATGTTAACTAAGCTACCACCCACACAAAAAAAAGCATAACTGATTTAGTTGGTGGCATCAAAATATGAAAGCATATAGTCTAGAACAGGGGTTGGCAAACCTCTTTTCCATAAAGGGTCAAAAAATAAACATTTTTAGGCTTTATATCTGTTGCAATTACTCAGCTCTGCCACTGTAGCACAAAAATAGCCATAGATAATAGGTAAATGAATGGAGAGGACTGTGTTCCAGTAAAACCTTATTTATAAAAACATGGCTAGAAGATGAGCTTGTAAACCCTAGATCTGCTCCAGTTCACAAACAGTGAAGGCAATGAAGGTGTGAAAACTTTGGCTAAAGGAAGGATATGGAACCAGAGGCTCTAAGAGCTAACACAGTTCAGGTATGTGGGTACGACTGATGCAGATGATAATTTTACACATGCATAATTTTACTGATGCATATATAATTTTACACATAATTCTTTCTCCCATTTCACAAGTACTTTTAAGGTATTTCATTCATTCCTGTTATATAAATTTAGCTATGACTGTCTAGTTAGACTTAATTATGTTTATGTTTCTTCCCTAATATTACAATTTTCTTTTCTAATTGACTTATTTCCCCATTCTATTTTGTTGACAGTGTTTTACAAAGCATTGAATTAGTTTGCCTCTGATTACCACTTTGGCTACATCCCAAAGAATGCTATTGACTTCTCTGTAATTCCATGAATCATTTGATTCAACATTCAAAAACTCTATAGGCTATTTTTCCACTTACAATATGATATAGTATTATTAAAGCCTTCATGTGCCTTTATGTTATCTGTTTTATTAATTTCAACTTCTAAGTTCATCTTTGTGTTGTCAAAAAAAATGATAGTCTAATTGTACACATTACTACTTGGAATGTCAGTGCAGAATCAGTATTAAAAAATCTAATCCAGAGTAGAAGGCAATCAAATACAGTCCCTTTCGAGGGACTATATACATAACTTCAGATATTTATATACTTATAGAAAGGGAAAGGAAATGCAACCAACAAAAATCAGGTACCTACTATGTGCCTGTCTGCCTGCTTGCCTTTCTACCCCATCTATCTATCTATACCTACGTACGCCTAACTATCTACCTAATTTAATCCCTGCATCAACTTTATGAAGAAATGAATGGTCTCTATNGGGGGGAATTTAAAAAACAGTTTTATTGAGATATAATTGACATACAATAAACTTGCACATATTTAATGGACATTTGTACATATGACACATGTACCTGTGAAACCATCACCACAACGTCGGAGTAATAAACATATCCATTACCTCCAAAAGTTTCCCTGTTTCCTTTTGTGTATGGGTGTGTATGTTAAGAACATTTAACATGGGATCCACCCCCTTAACTTTTTAAATGCATAACAGTATTGCTGACTATAGGAGATGTTTTATGTGTTTTTTAATATATGAAAAACAACATGTCTGGCAGGATCCTCACACTAAATTCTTGATGATGGTTGTCTCTTAGGGTTGGGACTATGACATTGTGTAATTTCTAAATCTCAATGTTATTTGAAATTTTTATCCAGAGCTAATATTATTTTAATTATCAGAATAAAAATTAAAATTCTCATTTTGTGGGAAAAGCTCACAAAAACTCTTGGAGATTTCCCATTCAAGCCTTGGGCCCTGAATATGACAGTTAACTGCATCTTAAGAAGCATCAGGTCTGCAGATCAAGGGAACCAGCAGGGCCACACAACAATGTGAGGAAACGTCACACTGCTTCTTGGCTTCCTCTTCTCCAACTTTTCTGTGCCTGAGATATAGGCTCACAGTAATAAAAAAGGCAGCACTGAAAGGGAAAAAAACCATTTCAAGGAGGTAGGCGAGTGGCGAGAGAACAGAGAAAGTCCCTTCATCTCCCCTGTGGTGGATGGAGATGGCAATGGGGTAATAGACTGAACACACATCTTTTAGGCCACTTTTCTTTAAGTCCACTCTCAGGTGATGGGTTTCCTTTCTCCAGTTCTAAGGGCAAAGTAATGTAATTCCTTCCACAGACACTTTATGCTCCTATAAAGACTCAAACACATTTCCTAGGAACCTGCTCGAGGTTATGTAAATTTGGTGCACAAAAATTAAAATTAGGAGCCACTGGAAGACAGGCTGCTTAACCAAGTAGCAACACTCCTGCTGCATCTCTGGGACATGTGGATGAAATACCTAAATTTGGGTCATGAAGCTTTGGGGTCGCTGCCATCAGCAAGGTTGCCTTATTTTGGAAATGGGTTTCAAACATTACCTTTCTTGCTCTGAAATTATAAATTAGTATCATCACTGATATCGTTTTCTGATTGTTATTTGGTTAATCCTATACAGTATATATTTGCAGCAACAACATTTCTGGCCTATCATTTTCTGCTTTTCCTGCTTTGCTATTATGCATATTTCTAAAATAAAAATTAATGCATGAGACTGACAGGAATTCAATGTAGGAGTGATACTGATTCACACATGATATTCCCTGGCACATTCATGTTTTCCACCACACAGGAGTCACAGAAGCTGACCACTGAGTACCCTAGTACAGGATGCTCCAGAGAACAATGCTGCACCTCATGCACAGATTCCCCAAGTCCTTCTTTTGCCTCAGTTTCCCCCTTGGCTCTGGATCTGTCTTAGAAGGGCTAATTATATAGTTCTCTCCAGTCTATGTATTTTATCCTTGACTCCCAAGTCCAATTCTTTACAACCTTAAGATATCTTTACTTTTTTTGTTGTTTTGTAGAGAGGCCTATATTTTCTGCAGTACTTGCTTATTAGAAATTTCACATTTTTTTCCCCTTAAACTGAACTGGTAGTTTTATCAGGATTGTTTTTGTTTGGGTGTGCTCTATACCAACATTATTCCCCCCAAGCCTTGTTATTTTAAGGTATGGTTTTGTAGATTATGACTTTCTTCAGGAATGTAGATCTTGTCATATTAGAGGGGCAATGCTAGTATTAAGACTGAAGAAGTATATATGTTATCCTTTTCATATATCCCAGTACTGATCTGTTTTTACAGTAAACTGCATTACTTTCTCTGAGTTCTTCTTCCACTGGAATATGTCAATTGGTGAGGTGGCCAGGCTGAGGAATCTTTTTTCTTGCTGGATGGGCCCTGAATAAAAATATTTTGTCTGATTTGATCACTTTTCTCCAAGACACTGGCAACTGCCAGAAATAATTTCTTGCTGCTTATAATGAACTGCAGGCAAAAGTCAACAAGAGTTTGTAACTGCATTCAACTTCAATTCTTGTATTTAATACACCTCACATAAAGAAGGCATAGAAATGGAGCAATGATGAAGGATTCCAAAAAACATTACTGTCATATTCATCTAGGGCTCTATGCCATTGCCACAAAGGAAGAGCGCTCTGGACATACACCACAATTTCCTCTGTGAAAATTTCTCAGTCAAAAAGAATCCTTAAAAAGGTACATTATTTTCAATTCTTACCTTTATCCAGATTTCCAGGAGACACAGCATTCAAATCACCAAACTGCAAAACAACAGTCATTTGTTCAACAGTTACTACTAGCAGAATAAAATAATATTCTATCAGTCTGTGGTAAAAACACCACAGTATGACTTACAACTGTAAACTAGTGACCATTTTGATCTCTAACTATATGGGTCACATAATTTTCCAATCAAACTTGTCGAATTTGACCAGTTTAAACTGTGTCACAATTTAGCTGTCTTGGCCTCTTTGCAAAAAGGTAATTTTCTCTGCCTTCCACACTCTATTTTATGCTTATTTGAACTTAGTGGTGAAGAAATTGGGGCCTGGCTGGCATGGTTGAAGATGGCTATGGTAGAATAGATTTGGAAATGTGCCAATGAAGCAGGATGCATCAGCTCTAACCCCACGCATTTTACATGAATCCACCGGGCATCTATGTTAGAGAAATACCATCTAGCTTCTTGATTGAACTTTGTTTTTAAAGCTTTTAGTAGTAGATATGGAAAACATAATAGGAGCCCTCCCAAAATTGAGAGTATTTATTTTTTCAAAATATTTGAGACTTCTCTTCTTGTAATTTGATGTTCTTATTTACTAAGATAATAGGATCCCGCTTTAAAAAAGAAAGGGATCTGATTGTTACTAACGCAATAAAAAAGAGCTTAAAACAATATGAAACAATAACCTTCAGCTTAGACCTCATTTTCTACCTTGATTCAAGAGCCTAATAATACTTTTACAGTGAGAAAATACATTTTGAGAATCTCAGGACAAACAAAGTTAGATACATTAAATAAAAATTGAATAGCAGGGGTAAAAAAGCTAATTGGAAAAGGTGAAGTGGAACCTCAAAGCATCCACTTTTTAAATGGTAAACATTACTTCTTTTAAAGCCAAAGATTCAGATTAAGGTCATTTTTAGAAATTCAGATTTCTCAATAGGCTTAGAAAGGGTGAGACAGAAATTCTACTTACATTTAGAAGTTTGCTTATAAAGAGTTCCATGATAGGAGTATATTTTTCATCTACAAGGTATGTCTATAAAGTAATAAAACTGATCTTATTTTGCAAAAATACACACTTTTTTTTTTTAAACCTAAACATGTATTGTTTTCCATAGTAGCTACCTTGGAAGCTTATACATTTATTCCAAGGTCCAAGGTTCTGGAATTCCTCTTTGACAATCAACTTCAAGGTTAGTTTATGTATCACTCAAGAAAGCCCATCTTGTTATTTTATATCCAATTGTCACTCCAAACACCACTCCAAATTGTATTCATTGCAGCGGGACCTGGAATGATATCTGACTACTCGCCAAGATCAAATCCATCTACACTACGATTCAGCATATTCAAAATAATATATCATTTACTCTATTATTTCTTATCAGTTAAGAGGCAGTTTAAAAAGAGGCATTCCACAACATTTAAGCCAAAATCAAATTCATCTACTCCATGATTCAGCATATTCAAAACAGTATGTCATTTACTCTATTATTTCTTAGTAGGTCAGAGACAGTTTAAAAAGAGGCATTCCACAACATGTAAGCCCTGGCAGCATTAGTGGAACAGATCCATAGCCTTCCTAGGTGACTGCTTGAAGGGCACAATGGCCTCCTGGATGTATAACTTCTAGTATGTTTGTTTCAAAGACTGTCAATTACATTATAGTTACATCCCATTGGGCAGCAAATTTAAAATCATAATGAACTGTTGTCTTGAAGTTTTTCCTGATCACATGGGTCAGAACCTTATAATAGTCTAAGTAAAAATCACAGCCTAAATTATGTAAGATTTGTGGAATTAAAGAATATAAGCAACAAAAAAACCAAGAGGACTCTATCTATTTTTGGTATTATTTAAATATTTTAGAATCATAAACAAAAAATGCCCAAAGCTGAAGGACCATTTATAAGTTATTTCTAGTTGACATAACACAATGAGATTTTTATTTCTTTTAAATGAACACTTAACAATACTTAAGGTCCAGTTCTGGAAACAAGATGGAAGTGATGAGTCTAAACTTACCTCTATACCTATAAAATGTGAATATTCCATTTGTTTTTGAAAAATCTAGAAAAAGTGTTTGAGGCTAAGTTGCTATTGCCATTAGTGATCAGTAATATAACACAAACTGGCTAAAACCAAACTCTGGATATATTTGAAAATTATTTTCAAAAGAAATACTGCTTTTAGTTGCTACTTAACTGAAAATCTAACAACTTTCTTAATATTAAGATTTACCTTTGAAAGTTTCAGCTTAATCTGAATGAACACATCTGCTTATTCAGGATGTTGAAAATAAATAACAAAATCTCAGTGACTGCTACTATCACTGGTAAATAAACATTTGTATACTAAATGCTGTGTGTTTGTGGCTATGCAGTATGCTGGACACTGTACAAAAACATCTCAGAGACACTGCCAATGCCTCTTGTGGTACCTGGGATCAAACACAAAGTTCTACATACAGAGCAAACAGGAGTAGATTTAAAATAAAAATCTTATGAATAAGATTTTCATGTCCTATATAGCCAAAGATAAAGGTTTTTATGTGCATTCTATATGTGAGTGAAGAATATACATGTGACTCAGGACAAACCACTTTTAACTTAGACTGGTAAGATTAGGAAATCAGTTCACTCATTATTCAGTAAATATTTACTGAGAGCTTACTATGTGCTACTAGGCACTGTGCCCTCTAGTTACAGTCAGATTAATTTGGAAATATTCCCTTTCTGGAGGTATCAGAAGTTGCTTATATTATGAAGGATAGATAGTTTAGCCAAAAATTTAGGCAAGCTCAGAAAGCTTCAAGAAGACTTTAGAAGCAGAGTGTTAACTAGAATGGGAAATCACTTGCAAGGGGTTTTGGATCAAGCAGCAGGTCAAAGAACAGTGGCAGGAAAGGTTGACAGCAGGCATATTGAAGATGGTATCACAGACAGGGGACAGATGACAAGCACCTGGATGACGCCAGCACAAACCAGAAACAGAAGAGATAAACAATATGGACAAAAAAAAAATGGAGGTTTGCAAGTAAGTGCAGAGATTATTGTAAAGTCATAGCTCCACACGTGGGGAAACTCTGTTGCTCTCTACCTGTGGTCCTGGGCGCTGGAGGGCACTGCACTTCTCCTTGCGGCTCATCAGGGACTTTCATGGTTCAGTACACGGCAGCCTTTCTCTCAGATATTATGACCTCAAGTGTCACCTTCTCAACATTGCTTCACCAGAGGTTTTCTTCCTGACAGCCCATAGTGTCTCTTTCCCTGTCATTCTCAGTCATTTCCCTCACAGCACCTGCCACAACATTCAATGCTTACTTTGTTTCTGCACCTAAATCTGTCTTCCCAACCCTAATGCCAGTGTCCTTAGGGTAAAGAATATCTTTGTCCTCTTTATAAATGCATCCCAGAATCTAGTATAGAGTACAGCACCTGATAAATATTAATGGCTGAATAAATACCAAATGAGTTTGCTTCATTTCAGCCTCACAAAAACCTTAAGAATTTGGCAAGATAGAGAACTTAGATTTAATCTTACAGCTATTGAAAACAATGAATTGATTTGTCTAACATTATATAAGAAATATAGTGGTATTAGACTTGAGACAAGATATTCTGATCCTTAGTTTAGGAATTTGAGGGTCAGAGAGGAAGACTAAGCAGGAATGGGGGAAAGAAGGAAGGAAGGAAGGAAGGAAAGAAGGAAGGAAGGAGGGAGACAGAAAGTATGCATTTCCCATGCATGGAAGAAGGAATGTGAATTAAGAGATTTAAATAGATTGGAACATAGAGAAAGCATATCTGTTGTTTTCAGGAAGACCTCCAATCCTAGAAACCATTTCTTCTCCAGGTCCTGACAAGAGGTCATAATAATGAGCATCCTCCTGGATAACTGCATACTAAAGAATATGTGGTCAGGACAGCCAGGGTGGGGTGGGGGGTCTGTTAGACCATAAATTAGTGATGAGATGAGCAATGGCCATGATGTGTAAATGGGCAGCTGGGCAGCACAGCCAGGACAACTACCAGCAGGATCCTTGAGAGAGACCCTGGTGTGCCCCTGACCTGTGGCCAAGCAGCTGAGGAGTAGTTCATTACAGGACAGCAAAGCCCAGCATCTGTCCTCAAGCACAGCTACCCTGAGAAGAGCCGGGCTCAGCACAGGAGAGCAGCCCACAGATGCACCGAAGAGACCACTGCACATTAGATCCAACAGCAGTGAATTTTCAGTGAGGGAGGCAGACCTGTACTGTAATACCTGGAAATTGAAGCAACGCAGAGGAAGTCAGGAAGCCCAGACAGCAAACAGGCAAGGATCCGTGCGGGGACCACAAAGCAGAGCCCGAGAATAGAAGTAGGGAATAGAAGGAAAGAATTCAGGGACTGGGATGAAGACCTCACCCCTGGGGACACTTGCCCTGCTGGAAGAGTTTACGCCATCCTGGGGAGAAAGGACTGGTGAGTAATCATAACCACCTTGCCTGGGCAGCCAGGTAAACGTTCCCCATAGAAACTGCATCTTACTAGAAATGCTTTGTTAGTATATCCAGGTTTACAGATTTACAGGTAGACAGATACAATCACACCCACATACCCACACATGCACACATTCTTTTTGTTTATTGAGCTATTGGTTGTCCAAGTCTAAAATCACTATGTTAACTAAGCTACCACCCACACAAAAAAAAGCATAACTGATTTAGTTGGTGGCATCAAAATATGAAAGCATATAGTCTAGAACAGGGGTTGGCAAACCTCTTTTCCATAAAGGGTCAAAAAATAAACATTTTTAGGCTTTATATCTGTTGCAATTACTCAGCTCTGCCACTGTAGCACAAAAATAGCCATAGATAATAGGTAAATGAATGGAGAGGACTGTGTTCCAGTAAAACCTTATTTATAAAAACATGGCTAGAAGATGAGCTTGTAAACCCTAGATCTGCTCCAGTTCACAAACAGTGAAGGCAATGAAGGTGTGAAAACTTTGGCTAAAGGAAGGATATGGAACCAGAGGCTCTAAGAGCTAACACAGTTCAGGTATGTGGGTACGACTGATGCAGATGATAATTTTACACATGCATAATTTTACTGATGCATATATAATTTTACACATAATTCTTTCTCCCATTTCACAAGTACTTTTAAGGTATTTCATTCATTCCTGTTATATAAATTTAGCTATGACTGTCTAGTTAGACTTAATTATGTTTATGTTTCTTCCCTAATATTACAATTTTCTTTTCTAATTGACTTATTTCCCCATTCTATTTTGTTGACAGTGTTTTACAAAGCATTGAATTAGTTTGCCTCTGATTACCACTTTGGCTACATCCCAAAGAATGCTATTGACTTCTCTGTAATTCCATGAATCATTTGATTCAACATTCAAAAACTCTATAGGCTATTTTTCCACTTACAATATGATATAGTATTATTAAAGCCTTCATGTGCCTTTATGTTATCTGTTTTATTAATTTCAACTTCTAAGTTCATCTTTGTGTTGTCAAAAAAAATGATAGTCTAATTGTACACATTACTACTTGGAATGTCAGTGCAGAATCAGTATTAAAAAATCTAATCCAGAGTAGAAGGCAATCAAATACAGTCCCTTTCGAGGGACTATATACATAACTTCAGATATTTATATACTTATAGAAAGGGAAAGGAAATGCAACCAACAAAAATCAGGTACCTACTATGTGCCTGTCTGCCTGCTTGCCTTTCTACCCCATCTATCTATCTATACCTACGTACGCCTAACTATCTACCTAATTTAATCCCTGCATCAACTTTATGAAGAAATGAATGGTCTCTATACTGATTCGGTTGATGAGAAAACTAAGACCCAGGCAAGGATATATATATATATATTAGATTGTCCCACATGCCCCAGGTTGTAAAGTTATTAAATGGAAAGTATGGAATTTAAATTCAGGTGTGGAGCAGAGTATAGGAGGAACAACACAGGATCACCTGGATTTGAATCACAACATACTATTATCAGTTATGTGATTCCAGATGTCACTTTTTGATCTTCAGATTTCCTTTATATGAAGTATATAGGGTCTATTGTCTTTAAAACTCATGTTTCAAATACAACTAATAAAGTCCTAGAGTTCCAGTCAATCATAAAGCCGTAAGATGGTGATTTCAAAATGAAATACCTCTAGCTGAGTGGAACTACAAACTAAATCTAGGTCTAAAGTTGAAGTCAGTTTATGTACCGACCAAGCCATTTGTGACTGAAATACCATGAAAAGGGCTGGCCTGAACACGGAATGTATGTATGTTTTGTGTGTCTGGAGGAATGGGGTGCTCACAGAACTAGAAATAGCTGATGAGCTCAGATGAACATCAACATGTAAACCCTGACCTCAGTAACCAACTTCTCTCTGCAATTCTGAAAAGCCAATGAAGGAATAAGGCCATTTAAGGCCTCCCTATAGAAGCAGGAATATTGCTCACAGGCATATTTGGAACTTCCTGACCCAATTCTAATCTTTCAACATTCTATACTTAGCTTGAACTTTGTAATTTCTCAATTTTATGAATCTTACACAGCTGATTTCAGTTCAATGATTTCAGTTCTATTAACCAAAGTTAGTAGACCTGATTACAAAAGGATTAGGTGGTAGCAACTATTTTGGATATGTTTCATTGTGGAGAGAAATATTATGAAATTTCAATCGTAAGGGATTTCATTATTATATTTCTTAAATATCTTCCAAATGAGAACCAAATTAATCAAAACACTTTTTTTGCTAAGGCATGGTTTTGATATGGAGTTTCAAAACAGAAAAAAAAACGGGAAAAATAGTTGCTGACGTTAAAGTGATTTCCAATTTTATAAAATTTGCAAGGAATGCTAACGTTCCATTTGGTAAAATCTTGTGTTCCCTGCTTATTTTTTTTTC